ACAGCAAAGGCAACATTCAACAGGGTGAAAAGACAACCTGCAAAATGGAAGATAATATTTGCAAACTATTCATCTGACAAAAGATTAATATATAGTATATGCAAGGAACTCAAATCAATAGCAAAAAAACCCATAATCCAATTAAAAATGGGTAAATGATCTAAATACATAGTTCTCAAAAGAAGACATAAAAATAGCCAAGTACTTGAAAAAATATTCAACATCACTAATCATAAGGGAAATGCAAATCAAAACAACAATGACAAATCAAAAAAGACAAAAAATAACAAATGCTGGTGAGGATGTAGAGAAAGAGAAGTCTTACACAGCGTTGATGGGAATGTAAATTAGTATAGCTATTATAAAGAACAGTATGAAGGTTCCTAAAAATATAGATCTATCATACAATCCAGGAATTCCACTCCTGGGTACATACACAAAGGAAAGGAATTTAGCCTATTGAAGAGACATCTGCACATCCATGTTTAGTGCCGCACTATTCACAATATCCAAGACACGGAATCAAACTACATGTTCATCAACCAATGAACAGATAAAGAAAATGTGTTATATATACACAATGGAATACTATCCGGTCATAAAAAGAATGAAATTTTGTCATTTGTGGCAACAGGATGAGCCTGGAGAACATTATATTGAGTGACATAAACCAGACCACAGGAGGATAAATACTGCATGTTCTAATTCATATACAGAAGGTAAAAAATCGGATCTTATAGAAGCAGACAGTAGGATAGTGGTTACTAGAGGCTGGGAAACATGGGGAGCTAAGGAAGAGAGAGAGAAGTTGCTCAATGAGGACAAAATTATAACTATGTTGGAGGAATAAGTTCCAGTGTTCTATAGCACTCTAGGATGATTATCGTTAATGACAATTTTTTGTATGTTTTCAAATAGCTGCAAGAGAGGATTTTCAACGTACCCAGCACACATGCATGCACACACACACACACACACACATATACACACACAAATGTTTGAGGTGATTAATATGCTAATTACCCTGATGTGATGATTACACTTTGTATGTATCCAAATATCACTCTGTACTCCATAAATATGTGCAAGTATTATGTGTCAATTAATTTTTTAAATTCGTGTTTTATGTTTAAGTCCCTACTTACCAAGTCTCTATTACTGATGACAAAACTGAATTCTCTCTTATTATGCACTTAATAACCTTATGATGGCATTAGAAAAAAGAAAACTATTTTCTCATTATAGTGGAGGTAATTAAAGGCAAAAACTGAGGTTATTTCCAGAAACTAGGGAAATGTATTTTGTGTAGTAGTTAGCAAGTTATTTGTTAACTCTGTTACATGTTCTACTATAGAATGCATAGCAAAACCCAGCAAGTGTGAGATGAAGCATGCTAGAGTTAGCAGAGATAAAACAATAAGCATAGGCCGGGCGCGGTGGCTCACGCCTGTAATCCCAGCACTTTGGGAGGCCGAGGCGGGCGGATCACAAGGTCAGGAGATCGAGACCACAGTGAAACCCCGTCTCTACTAAAAATAGAAAAAATTAGCCGGGCGAGGTGGCGGCGCCTGTAGTCCCAGCTACTCGGGAGGCTGAGGCAGGAGAATGGCGTGAACCCGGGAGGCGGAGCTTGCAGTGAGCCGAGATTGTGCCACTGCACTCCAGCCTCGGCGACAGAGCGAGACTCCGTCTCAAAAAAATAAATAAATAAATAAGCATTGGGGGTCAAAGATTCATCTGCCTAAAACATGAAATAGATATCACCCAAGTCTCAGAAGCCTTGCAGGACTAAAAACATTAACTGGGGTTGAATTGAAATGAAGGCAGCTGCAAGCACTAGATGGCGAGTGTCAGCCTGACAAGGAAAAGACCATGGCTCAAACCTCATCAAGCACTTTCCCTTGAGAAGGCTGCAGAAGACAGTAGGTACCTTGCCTGTCACAAAGAAGCAAGTTACGTTTGCTCCCACTGAAGTCTATTGTTGAAACTATTCTCAATGCAGCGGCATTTAACTAATATTGGGAATAATCAAGAGATTAAAAACTCCATCTTAGCAGTAGATTTTGATGGATATTGGTTTCAAATGGAAATTAATAGACACAAAATATATTTTTAGAAACAGAAGTACTGTCAAAGGAAACCTAAGTCTGTTTGGTACCACTCTGAACTTGTGTGTTGTAGACCTGTAAGTAACTCCCTAGACTGCTGAGATAGCAGTAGCAGGAATTTGGCCACAAATTGTATGCATCAATGTACAATCTCCACTTTCACCTGCAGATTAAAAAAGCGATAGGATTATGCTGAGGGAAAGAAAATTCAATGCCAAAGGCAATGTCAATTTTAAAAGGACACAGTGGACAAACAATCTTTTCAGAGGCCAAAACGAGGGGTATATAAAAAGTTAGCCAACATGATTTCTCCACTGACAGCAGACAAACTCTTTACCACTCCTGTCAATTAAAGATCTTTGGATTATTGTTTGTTAATGTATTAAATTTCAACTGGATGTGCAACAATTTAGTCAACTATGATGTTATTTGTTACATTTATATAACCTTTCAATTTTAATAGTAAAAGTAATGTAATAAGTACCACTGAGTTTCTAACTTTTTATATTTGAATCAAAACTAAAATTCTGTGTTAAAGATAATAAGTTTATATTTCTATTAAGTCATTTCAAATAATTTCAATGGTGTATCATTTATCTAAATAAAATGGAACTATTACATTTGCTTTATTGAATAATTTGTAAAAATCAAGCCTACTATAGGCGTATCTTAAAGTACTGATTCACTTTAGTACATTATGTACATATGGATATTATTTTAGAATGTTAGTCATTTCGTGATCAGAATATACAGCAGAAATATATTAATGAGAAAGGGTTAGTGAAGAAGGCAAGTGAGTTGATCTGGGAATAGAAAAACTAGCACAGTGGTCTGTGATAATCGTTTGCTACCCTTAACACATCTATTAGATTTTATATTGGGGGAATCTTCAATCTATAATTCCAATATGTTTTACTCAAAATATTTAGCACCTGCTTTTATATGATAGAAACACAAATATTGTAATATTATAATGACAACTAAGTTAATTCCCTGCCTCAGATTTCTCCCCATATAAATACATTTCAGTCCTAATACTAGATTCTTCTTTCTGGGACCACAGTTTTGAGCCTGCAGACATTCTCCTGGGTCACATTTTTTAAAATTAAAAAAAAATCATAAAATTTGCCTGAGTTTAGTTCACATTTCTGGTGAAACTGAAGTATTTATATTTACAGAAATTGAGCTGTCTTGCATCTTTTTCATAAGTTGGGTTCTTTCTTGCACATAAACATTCTTCCCCAGCACTTCTAAAGGCTTCAATTTCTTCAGTTTTCCTAAAATTTTTCATGTAAATCTTCCCTCCACGGAGACTTCCTTGTTCTCTTCAAGGGGATGACTCTCTCCCCCTCAGAGCCTGCTCTGTCAGAACGTCATGTTTAATCTACAGTTTAGCTGCTTACGTTTCTGTGGACTGTCTGCTCCTTCCTGATGAGGGCTGACTGCAGGTGGACCCTAGAGCACCCTGAACATCACCTGTGCCTCCCTACATGACCTGACCCTGAAGTCCTCCTGGGGTCCTCATCTCCCACCACATTTGACCTTACCAAGTTCTGCTGCTCACAGGACATTCCAGGCAGGGCCTTTCACATTTAGCACACTGGGCTCAATACCCCTTCCTTCCTCATGGTGTCCAGCTGCTGTTCGTGCTACTCAGATGTTTGTTTCAATGTCACCTCCTTGAGAGTGACTCAGAGGTATTGGGTGATACTCAGTTCAGTGATTTCTTTCTGATTAGCTGACAGTTTGCAGGGAGAAGGGGGATATGTGGTTTGAAAGGAGCAAGGAAAAGAATGAAAGACACCTTCCCAACAGGAAGTCCTGTAGTGTGTGGCTTCTGGGAGAGAAAACGGCCACCCTTTCATAGGGCACCATTAGGAGCCATGTCCCTAGGGGATGTGTGAGAAAAGCGAGGAGAACCTGCAGCAATAGCTTGTGTGAAAGGAGGAAAACCATTTGACAACATCTTGAACTCTAATGGAAGAAATGATGGCGATTTCAAATGAGTGTGCATGTGTATATGAGTGGGATAGGGGCAGTGCTCACTGAAACACTGTGACAACTAGCTCTTTCCTGAGTGCAAGCTTTTTAAAGGGAGACAACTGAATTCAGGTCTATATAAAGGTAAACAATGAATTTTACCCCAATAAGCTTGTCTCCATTGTTTTTTAAAAAATGAGAATTAACACTGAGCCGATTCTGGAAGGTTATGGTTATAACTAAAATAATAAAATGAAGGTGAAATATTGAGCAAAATACATTTGCAAAGTAAGTACTAAATGAACAAGAGGTATTTCTGTTTATTACTATTATTATAGTTATTATATAAGAAGTTATACTCTACTTCATCTAGGCAAGGGTTAAAACAATTCACTTAATGTGTCTGAAAGGATATGGAAGTTGACTATTTGATGAAATTACCCTATGATCAAATTATGCCTGTGTTTATGGAAATAAACCAGGTTTAAAGGGTAATAAATTGGCTTTAGATACCCTAAAGCACAACCTGCAGGCCCGGGGTAAATGCCTCAACCAGCCTTTCTTCCACAATCCCCAGGGGCCGCCACTTCCACAGTACTGCAGGGACCTGCCAACCTGGATCTCTCTGGCTTCTGCTCCCTGCGAGCGTCTGCTCTACATTCCTCTGCTCCTTATTTCAAGAAAAGGAAAAGTTGTGAAAGAAAAGATTCAGACTAAAAAAAGCAAAGTTAAGAAAAAAACCTTTAAATATGTAAAACTATTGTATTACAGTTGATTTTTGGATTTAATTTTTTGTTTTTGGAGATCACATGAGTATATATTTATAAATAAATTGATATAGAAATAAATGTATGTTTATTGTTGTTTCCTTTGTAAACTCAGCAGTCTCTTTAACAAGCCAAATTTCTTGCCTGAAAGTTACTGTATCTATATAATCATTTACCAGTAAAGGAGTGAAAGACATGCCATCCCCCAAATAGCAAATTGGAATACTGATTACTTTGAGTTAAAAACATAGGAGCAGTGGTTGTTTCAGAAAGGGCCAGCCGATCATTCTCTTCCTACATGCGCGAAGCCATAGAGATCCCTCGGCAGGTACACCCTCCATGTACCAGCTGAGAAAATAGCCCTCACACCAGACACTGGGATCTGCACTGCAATGGATCAGAATGAATACACTTACCTAAGTAATCCTTCTACAAGTTTTACTCCCCTTCATATACCTCCTAATGACTCACTTAGAAATGTATTGCTGTTAGCCGATCCCCTTTGTCCTGTCATTTCTTCTTGGGAAAATATAAAATTGTCTCTCTTTGGCCACTTCTTCAGACTCCATGCTCTTGTGAAGAAGTCCCTGTATATGTAAAATTAATAAAATCTGTGTGTTTTTAGTGGCATCATTCCTCCAGTGAAGTGGAATGTTCTGTTACAATTCATAATTAAAACAAACAGATTTATAGCTTTAAGCAGAATGCAGGAGGTGGAAGAGATGTACTAAATACCTGGTTTAATAAAATAGCAAAGCTTGAGGCATTGAATGATAACACGTGTCAGGAAATATAATAACAAATAACCCAATATATGATTTTATTTCCAAAATTCCAAGTAGTCCTATGAATGCCATAGATTGCCTATTAATTAATAACCAAGTTGTTTTTGCTTTGGAAGCATATACAGATTTTTTTTTCCAAAAACTGAAATAGACAGTTTATATCACTAGGCAATAGAAAATAAGCTAATGCAAGAGGCCTCATCATTATTAGTCATCAGGAAAATGCAAATTATAAGCAAACTCAGTTCCTACTACACTCAGAAGAATTGCTAAAATGAAGAAAACATCAATATTTGGAGCAACTGGAACTTGTGTGCATTATCAGTGGCAGTATAAGAGTAAACAATCACTTTGAAAACAGTTTACTAGAGTTCATCAGACACCTACCAAGAAAAATAAAAACATATTATTACAAATAGGAGATTAACAGACATTTCAATCATAAGAGCTTCAAACTTATAATAGCCCAGAGGCCCATCAGCAAAATAATGGATAAACAAATGATGAAATTTTCCAAAAACGAAATACTACTTAGCAGTAAAAGAAGAGCAACATATCAATGAGGTAAAAATGTGGAGGGATTTTAGAAATATATTCAGCTGAAAGAAGGAAACAAGATTCAAGACAAAGGAATACTACTGGTTTCCTTTGATATGAAATTTTAGAATAGCCCAAACTAATGAACAGAGATAAAAATTAGAGCAGTGGGTGTATCTTAGGCCTGGGGTATCACTGGAAAAAGGCCTGCAGGACCTTTCAGAGGTGGTGAAAATGGTATCTCTTGATAATGCATAATTACCAGGGTAGATATTTGTGGAAATCAGTTGAAAAGGAACACCTTAAATGTGAGAATTCTGCTGTGTGTAAGCTACACCTCAATTTGAAACAAATGGCAACAATTAACCTTCAAAACTGTTTGAATGGTGAATTCATTCTTTGAACAAAATATTTTTGTGAGGTATGATGTAAAACCATCTTACTAAAAATTAGTGATTTCACCGATTTTTAACAATTCACAATTTGATTGGATAATGATAGCTGAGTAAATGAACCCAAGGAATGAAGATTTATCTGCACTTCAAAGCAACACATACACACACACACACAAACACACAGAGAGACAGAGAGAGACACACACAACAGATGTAGATATAAAAGTGTATATTCCTCATCTCTAGGAAATTCCACACAAACACTTTGCACAGTTTAGAATGTTGGAGCAAATATATATACTCTTATTCATGACTTAAGTCCACACACCGACCCATACACCTTGTCAGGGCTCCCTTGACCTCACTGTTCCTCACACTGTAGATGAGGGGGTTTAGCAAAGGGGTGAACACAGTGTAGAAGGCTGACACAACCTTATCGTGGTTAGTGGACCTATGAGATTTGGGTCTCATGTAGGTAAAAATGGCAGCTCCATAAAAGAGTCCCACCACAGCCACATGTGAAGAGCAGGTGGCAAAGGCCTTCTTGCGGGCTTCTGTAGAGCGCATGTGGAGAACAGCGGCGAGGATGAGACCATAGGAGGACAGGATGAGGGACAAGGGCACCAGGAGCATTAACACACAGCAGATGTACATGGCGTTTTCGAAGACTGAAGTGTCGGCACAAGCCAAACGCACCAGCACGGGGGCCTCGCAGAAGAAATGATCGATCTCGTGCGCCCCGCAATACGGGAAGCTCAGGGAAGCAGCAGCCTGCAGGAGCCCGTCAGCTGCACCCAGGAGCCAACACGACATGGTCATCCTCAGGCACAGCTGCCAGCTCATGAGCATGGGATGTCGCAGTGGGTGGCAGACAGCCGCGCAGCGGTCATAGGCCATGGCTGCTAAGAGGAAGCACTCTCCACCCCCCAGCGTGGGGAGGAAGAAGATCTGCGCACCGCAGCCAGCGCGGGAGATGGCCTTATTTCCGGTCAGGTAGTCAGCCGCCATTTTGGGCACAGTGGTGGAAACCAGCATCATGTCCATGAGGGAGAGTTGGCTCAGGAGGAAGTACATGGGCGTGTGGAGCCGGCGGTCCCGGTGAATCAGGAGAATCATGAGGGCATTGCCAAACAGGGAGGTCAAAACAATGGCCAGAAGCATCATGAAGAGGACTTGGTGGGCTGTGGTGTGGTTAAAGAGGCCTAGGAGAATGAAATAAGAGGTAGAGCTCCCATTTTCCATGATTTCACATAAGAGTGACACTGCAAATGGAGAAAAAGATGACAGTGTTTATCCTTTATGGTACTCCATTTGAGTTATATAGTTCTTGAAAAGTAGTTGTGTGAAAGCGATGAAACCTATGTCAAATCTTTCATTTGCCACTTGCAAATTGTTCTAATTTGTGCATAAAATTAATTCAACTTTTTCTCATTTCCAAGGATTAATTATAAATTCTTCTCAGGCTGAGTATTGATTAATTTTATATAACAAATCTACGTTCTGGATAAGTTGCAAGTGACCTGTCAGAATGATTTTGCTTTATCTGATACCATCATAAATGAGTGGGAATGAAATGATTCACATAATTTGTCATTTTATTTGTGCTTGAGTTACATCATGCATAGTCAATATTTTAGGAGCTGAATTAAGTCAATATATTTCATTATATAAAACTACATCCTTGATTATGAAGGTTGTGGGTCTATAACATACCAAAACTCATTGAAACCTGCCAAAATCAGGTGGTTTCCCCTGACTTAATCCAAGAAGACTTTTAACTTTCTAAACAGGGTGACTTATGTTCTCAGGTCTGGAAAGACTAAGTCTGCAAATGAAAACATACCTAATTTGGAGTTACAAACACATTTAGTCCTCCTTTATAAGTGATAGACTGAAAACAGTACTGACATTCTTGGATATTTTTTATTTCTTTGCAATTTAAGAATATAATGGTAAATACACATTTTCATTAACTGTACAAGGTACTTTGTTGCAATGAGACTTTTTCTCATCAGTCCACAAGCATAACCTTTACCAGGTAAAGGAGAAAAAAGAAAAGTAAGATCTTTATCCAATCACAGAGATAAATTAGTTTTTTCTTCAGTCTCAAGAGAAATGAAATCTTTATAGGCATTTTCCTCTTAGATCTGCTGGTGCAGGAAGTTTTCTACCTTTTTGAATAATGTGGCCACACCTGCATATCAATGCTGATTCAATCTCAAGGATATGGTCTAATTCAGTAAAGTTACATGGCAGAAGGAGCCCATCTCTTCCATGGGCATTCCCTTAGCCTCTACTTTTTGTATCCACCCTAAACTCAGATGTCAATCATGACTGGGAAATGCAGTGCAGTTGGGTCAGTGGATACCAGGGTGCATTAGTTGAGCATCATAATTTTACTGGCAGCACAATACCTGAGGGTTTTATTTGGTTGTTTAAAATATCATGAAAATATACATATTTCCTTCTTGACAAATAAATTCTGCATTTGACAAAACTTTGTCATATTCACACCCTGGTATCTCTAACATGCACATTTCTTTTCTTTTTACTTCTTAGAAAATGCAGTAACATGTACTTTCTACATGTAGGAACTATACAAAAATCTCTAATTATAGTCCTCAGTGTCATTTTGCTGAAAGACCTCAAAGCCTCCTAACTCATTTCTTTCACTTGATATCTCCCATTTCTCTGTTGTTTCAACCTTTCTTAGTGTTGAAGATTGATCAGGTTTAAATATCTTTTAAAAAATCAATCTGTAATGTCATAACTGTAGGGTGTTGGACAAGTTTCTTAAATTATTTTTTTTCTATCATATTAACTATTTTTAAGTGCACAGTCAGTACAGTGGCTTCAAGTATAATCATATTGTTGTATGACCATCCACAATATCCATCCACATTGTGTGTGTGTGTGTGTGTGACTGTCTTATTTCATTTATCATAATGTCCTCAAGTTTCATCCCATGTGTCAGAATTTCCTTCCTAAGGGTGAATACTATTTCATTCTCTGTATATATAACAGTTTATTCAGTTATCCAGTTATAGCCATTAATGTTGCTCCCACTCACTTCAGCTGTATGTTTAAGGATCAATTTAATGGCATGTTTGATAAAAGATGTTAGTTGTTGTTGCTGTTGTTGTTTTTGGTAAGGTAAACATATATAGCATAAAAATATAGCAATTTCAATTAATTAGCTGCTTAAATTATGCCAGACTGGTTCATATGTTTTCAGAGAATAATCTCAACAACATGCATGACTTTTCAGTTCAGGAATAATAATTCTGAAATAAAAATTCTGAAATAAATAATTCTGAAATAAAAATAAAACTTCATAATAATTTTCTTATTATGAAGTTCCTACTATGATTAAGTAGTTTGTAAAATTTGATGTCATTAGCTTGTACCTTTTCAGTGAAAATAGATAATATTTCTATTCTTTATGTTTAGGTGGAATGAAAATTCTTTATTTCCAGGTGTATAAAAATTATCAGTTTTTATCGGTCTAACTGGTCATCATGCCATAGCATTCAGATTATTTCATGAAATGATCAATTAAATGTGTTAAGTAAAATTAGTAGATAACTGTATTTTTCTATGATGTGATAATATTAAATTATTTGCTTTATTAAAATTACTGTCTATATTTTTATGTTACAAAGCTGAGATAATTTGCCACTAATTAAAATGTTTATGAACCTACAAAAATGATTATTTGGGGTAATTTTTTAAAAAAATTGACCATGGAAACAAAGTATAGTTAAATGAAAAATGAAGAATTAAATAATCTTACTAATAAAATATCTATAATTTCATTTAAAAGAAGGTTGAAAATTCAAGACTGACTAGTGTAGAAAGAAGTATGATAAAGTATTGCCCTGAAAAATAAATATTTTCCTTTTCTTTCTTCACTATAGCTTAAAAAGCTAAAGAATTTTGAGCTATATTTTCTTCTGTCCCCATAGTTTCTTACTTAGAATGGTGATAAAATGTGGACATCTTTACTTTAAATCACACTGATCTTTTTTGCAATGCTCGTAGAAGGCACGTATATATCCCTTCCTTTTTCTCATCAATAACTTGTTGAGTAATCATAGAACATTGAGAACAATGCCTCTAACATTCCATTCTGTACTTTTCTGATCCCTGTTGCCAAAACTTAATAGTAAAACTGTAACTCTCCTCCCCAAGATAATGAAATGATTAATCAATTTGTTCTGTCAGAAAATAAATTGGAAACAGCCAAATCATAAATTTGACAAAATTCACAGGTTATTACAAGAATTTAACCTGATGACTGTCTCAGCTAGCAGGTTTTGATTCTTCAGGTTGTAGAATGGATAATAGAATTTTATTTGTAAAATATATAAAGATGTATAGCTGTGACTTCTCTGGAGTTCAGACTTTACAGGAAAATTATTAAATATTAAGTGACTAGTATTTACAGAATCACAGATTGTCTACTTACAGAAGATAAAAGTGATGACTGCTTCCAAAAGGCTGGATCCTGTCTGAGCAGCATTGTCTTAATGCCTCTTTGGGTGGAGAAAAGCTCTTCCAGCCTGGCTGTATTGGCTTCTCTTATATCAGTGTCTACAGTCTACTTCTTAGGGGTGTGGCCTAAATTAAATCTGATTAATAAACCAGAGAGGCATAAGCTTGCCACTTTGGTTGCCAAAGATGTTTAATTTTCGGGGACATTTTATAGACACCCATAATTTTAATATACTTCCAAAATGCTTTTGGAAAGCTGTGATTTATTGAAAGAAGAGAATTCTTTAGGATCAAAAATGACATGTAAACAGATGTTCATGGAAAAAGATGATGCTTAAAAATACATTAAGGGGGTGAGGTAATGTGGCTCTGGCATTGTCTGTAGTTTAATATGATGGGAAGATTAAACAGGTGTGATATTGAAAGATCAGCTGTTGTCAAAGAGAGTAGTTGAAATAAAAAGAAACCGTGGTAGAATCCATGGTAGTTTCCTTATTGAACTAAACTTGACAGAATCTCTGCTGCATTATAAGTATCAGTATTTTTGCATCTCTGTGATATAATTGTATTTTTTAATATTTTATATGTGTGTATCTATGTAATAAAATCAGTGATAACAACAATAGTAACAACAGATTGTATTCACTGTGCCAGGCACTTTGTGATTTGATTTTATCTGGGGCTGCTTTTTGTGATTGTTATTTCTTCTTAATATTTTCTACTGTCAAGCACCCTTGGATTCTGGCTCCACCTTTTGCAAGTTTTGTGAACTAGGGCTTCACTACTAGTATATATAAATCTCAGCTTCCAAAACTGTAAAAAATATATATATTTAAACAAAATTTCTCATGGAATAGATCATGGGGAAAGCTGCTCCTACACAAAACATGAGAAACTGTAATTGCTTATTCCAAGTGAAGTTGTAATTACTATTGTTTTTGTTTAGAAGGCAAGCCCATTATAGATTTTAGTGACACCTCTGCCTTTGCATGTTGGATCTTATTGAAGTGGCCAATCCTACTCTGATTTAGAATGTTATTGATCACATTCAGTCTACAGTTAAAGTCAGGTTATCTTATTTCCTGTGAAAAAACCCAAATTCCTGGCTAAGTGCAAGCAGTGTCATAGATATTTAGTATATCAAGTTACAAATAAAACTTTCAGTGAAAGTTTACCTATGACTTATAATAAAACTTTTATCTTTCCATGTTCTGAACACTAATGTCTCTGGGTCCCAGGGGTATCAGTATGATGGTGTAGTAACACAGGGTGGCTACTGTCCGATGGAGGGAGTGGCCTTTTGCCTTAAGTAGATCAGTCTCTCTGAAGGACTGTAGTGTGTGAGAGAATTAAGGTCAGACAAGCTGTGAGTCAGATGAGAAAAAGATGTATGTACTGCCCAGAGTGCCACAGAAAAACACAAAGGACAGTGATGCTGGGTAGCTGAGTTGAGATTAACTACTATGTGGGCACAATTTACAAAAACCAAAGAGAGGCTATGCTAAGTCCCTACACCAGCAAGACCTTGACCTTCTGCCCACTCTCCTCTTGATGGCATGTGGGGATAGACCAGCTTCCAGATTACAGATGGGCTGTATGGAGGAGGCCACCTCAAAGGTGACCCTGCCAGAGGTCATAGTCAAGAATCCACAGATCAGCAAGCCTGAGCAGGAGAAATAAATATCACTTAGAAATTCCTGAAAAAAAGGCTGAGATGGAGATTTAGACATCCAGGAAGCTGGCGGAGGAGTGTTCCTAGTGTCAATTCCTGTGGCCTTAATGAAGCA